GTAGTGGTGGGATGGCAACGAGGTGGATTTAAGAAACCTGAAGGTTGTTTATTGTTTTTTAACTGCTGCACTGGGAGATAGAATAGGCGACCTCTGGATCTCGCAACCGTGGAACCCCACGGTGGTTAGGAGATGTTAACTACCTCGCCTGGTATACATTAGGTCAAAGGTTCCATCCCGATCCTGACGCCTGCTGTTTGCATGTCTCTCTCTCCCCGTGGTCGCGTGGATTTTCTCAGGGTTGTCCGGTTACCCCCCCCCCCTTCCACATTTAGAAACACGCGTTGAGATTATTTGACTGTTGTAAATGTCCACATTATTTGGCATGTCTTGCCACATGTTCACGGCAGAGGGGGTTTGCGTTGTTGCAGCTGCGGTGTGATCCAAATTGACTGCTGTAATGTGCAGTTTAATTCCGCAGCTCAACTTCGTTTGAGCTATCACGTGTGGCCAGGTCGCTTCTGAAAAAAAGCTACAAAGCTCCATTGGGCCTTTACCTGGTAATATAGAAAATGGTTTAGTTTGGAAAGTCCAGCGTGCTGCTGACCATTATCGCCACGGCGGACGATAATCTGTAGAAGAATGAGAGACGAGGGAGGGAGATCAGCTCAAGGGATAGATGGAGACACGGGGGGCGGAAGGGGACGTAATTGAGGTCAATATCAAGACGATATCTCAAGGGAAGTCAGCGAGAGGGTTACGTTGACAAGCCAATGTCCAGAGGGGACAAGAGGGGGAGATCGTTACCGCTACGCTGGTTTAGCCACGGACAACGCACTCGAGTCTCAGGACCCCTCCCTATTCGGGAAGGTTCCTGCCAAATGTTCACCGCAGAGGAGGGCGGGGGAGGGCGACGTTGCTGCTGCTATGCTATCCAAATCGACTGCCGTAATGTGCAGTTTCATTTCGCAGCACTGCGATGGGTTTAGACCGATGACAGTGGACGTTGTGTACGATTTGCTTCACCTATCGGAGGACACCCACGCAGAACAGGGGGAGAGAGGACAGAGTTTGTTTGTCCTTGCCCATGCACGTCCGATGATCACGGTCGGCTTCGTACGGTGCGAAAAGAAGTCCAACATACGCAGATAGAAACAAACGCCATACAGAAAGGCGCTCGAGTTCGGGAATCGAACTCAGCGACCTTGCCGCTGTGAGGTGCGCTACCACCAGCCACCCTGTCGCTCAATACGAGAGAGAAGATGGTGTAGTCAGAGGACAGATGGTGTGCAGGGGAGCTCGAGAAGATGACGTCAAGAGGGAGATGATGCTAGCTTTAGAGAAGATGATGTAAGCAGGGAGATGATGCTAGCATTAGAGAAGATGACGTCAGGAGGGAGATGATGCTAGCATTAGAGAAGATGACGTCAGGAGGGAGATGATGCTAGCTCTAGAGAAGATGACGTCTAGAGGGAGATGATGCTAGCTCTAGAGAAGATGACGTCAGGAGGGAGATGATGTTAGCTCTAGAGAAGATGACGTCAGGAGGGAGATGATGCTAGCTCTAGAGAAGATGACGTCAAGAGGGAGATGATGCTAGCTCTAGAGAAGATGACGTCAGGAGGGAGATGATGCTAGCTCTAGATAAGATGACGTCAAGAGGGAGATGATGCTAGCTCTAGAGAAGATGACGTCAAGAGGGAGATGATGCTAGCTTTAGAGAAGATGACGTCAGCAGGGAGATGATGCTAGCATTAGAGAAGATGACGTCAGGAGGGAGATGATGCTAGCATTAGAGAAGATGACGTCAGGAGGGAGATGATGCTAGCTCTAGAGAAGATGACGTCTAGAGGGAGATGATGCTAGCTCTAGAGAAGATGACGTCAGGAGGGAGATGATGTTAGCTCTAGAGAAGATGACGTCAGGAGGGAGATGATGCTAGCTCTAGAGAAGATGACGTCAAGAGGGAGATGATGCTAGCTCTAGAGAAGATGACGTTAGGAGGGAGATGATGCTAGCTCTAGAGAAGATGACGTCAGGAGGGAGATGATGCTAGCTCTAGAGAAGATGACGTCAAGAGGGAGATGATGCTAGCTTTAGAGAAGATGACGTCAAGAGGGAGATGTTAGCTTTAGAGAAGATGACGTCAGGAGGGAGATGCTAGCTTTAGAGAAGATGACGTCAAGAGGGAGATGATGTTAGCTCTAGAGAAGATGACGTCAAGAGGGAGATGATGCTAGCTCTAGAGAAGATGACGTCAGGAGGGAGATGATGCTAGCTCTAGAGAAGATGACGTCAAGAGGGAGATGATGCTAGCTCTAGAGAAGATGACGTCAAGAGGGAGATGATGCTAGCATTAGAGAAGATGACGTCAAGAGGGAGATGATGCTAGCTCTAGAGAAGATGACGTCAGGAGGGAGATGATGCTAGCTCTAGAGAAGATGACGTCAGGAGGGAGATGATGCTAGCTTTAGAGAAGATGACGTCAAGAGGGAGATGATGCTAGCATTAGAGAAGATGACGTCAAGAGGGAGATGTTAGCTTTAGAGAAGATGACGTCAGGAGGGAGATGATGCTAGCTCTAGAGAAGATGACGTCAAGAGGGAGATGATGCTAGCTCTAGAGAAGATGACGTCAAGAGGGAGATGTTAGCTTTAGAGAAGATGACGTCAGGAGGGAGATGATGCTAGCTTTAGAGATGACGTCAAGAGGGAGATGATGCTAACTTTAGAGAAGATGACGTCAAGAGGGAGATGATGTTAGCTTTAGAGAAGATGACGTCAAGAGGGAGATGATGTTAGCTTTAGAGAAGATGACGTCAAGAGGGAGATGATGCTAACTTTAGAGAAGATGTTGTCAAGAGGGAGATGATGCTGGCTTTAGGGAAGATGACGTCAAGAGGGAGATGATGCTAACTTTAGAGAAGATGACGTCAAGTGGGAGATGTTAGCTTTAGAGAAGATGACGTCAAGAGGGAGATGATGCTAGCTCTAGAGAAGATGACGTAAAGAGGGAGATATTAGCTTTAGAGAGGATGACGTCAGGAGGGAGATAATGTTAGCTTTAGAGAAGAAGACGTCAAGAGGGAGATGATGTTAGCTTTAGAGAAGATGACGTCAAGTGGGAGATGTTAGCATTAGAGAAGATGACGTCAAGAGGGAGACGATGCTAGCTCTAGAGAAGATGACGTCAAGAGGGAGATGATGCTAGCTCTAGAGAAGATGACGTCAGGAGGGAGATAATGTTAGCTTTAGAGAAGAAGACGTCAAGAGGGAGATGATGCTAGCTTTAGAGAAGATGTAAAACGACAATTGATGATGGAAAGATATTGAGATGACGTCAATGGAAGATGATGCAGATGATGACAGAAAATGATGTAAAAGAGAGAATCAGAATCGGAATGTATTTATCCTGGAGGAATCCGGTAGATGTGCAGTCGGGGGCACGGGGTCAGAACGTTACAACATTAAACAATACAACAACAACAACGCGATCGGAGTGCAAAGGTAAAGCAAATCACACAAAAACATGCAAATAAAACTAAACTATTTATTTTACCAGGTAAAGGCCAACTGATACTATTCGCCACAAACGACAGTGCCATGGAGGCCTCAGTGGATTCAATGAAGACGGTCGATGCCAACGTTTAGAGGTCATCCCAAGGATGCGGCGACGTTGACGGTGGCATCAAGATCAGTAAGACGTGCGCGAGACGAGATCAAGATCAGTAAGACGTGCGTGAGATCGACGTCAAGATCAGTAAGACGTGCGCGAGACGAGATCAAGATCAGTAATACGTGCGCGAGACGACGTCAAGATCAGTAAGACGTGCGCGAGACGAGATCAGTAAGACGTGCGCGAGACGACATCGAGACTCTACCGAGAGAAGCCACGCGTCTCGAGACGACTTCAAGACAGTGCGACGACAACGACGCTGATGACGACGACGCTGATGATGACGACGACGCTGATGACGACGATGACGCTGATGACGACGATGACGCTGATGATGACGATGACGACGACGATGACGCTGATGATGACGATGACGCTGATGACGACGATGACGCTGATGACGACGCTGATGATGACGACGACGACGATGATGATGACGACGACGCTGATGATAACGACGCTGATGACGACGCTGATGATGACGACGACGATGGCGTAGGGAGGAACTCCGATGGCACGAGAGTGATCATGGCAGGTTCATTGATGGGAAATGACAGATGATGGTGCTGATGATGATTATTGCGGGTGTTGAGATTGTGGGAGACGAAGACACAATCCTGATGATCGTGACGACGAAAGAGGTGACGTTAGTCATCAGGCGGGACTACCGCCTGATGACGGAAGCTTGTGTTGCTTCATAAACGTCGTGATTTGATTAATTTTATTTTTTTATTTTATTTTTACCTACGTGACTTTACCGAAAGAACCAAAGAGTACGGGATCATTGCAGTTACGAAAACTTTCAATCTAGAATTAAGGTGACGTTAGTTTTAGTGAAAAAGATACCAAATCATGATGATGATCAAATTGAACAGCGGACGACGACGATCAAGATGATGATGATAACAACTACGGAGATTTTTAGGATTTGCGATAAAAAAATAATCTGACACGATTACGATAAGTACTTTTGATCACGAGGTTATTGACAACAGCTGATGACGGATTGTCGGGTCCCAGACAATAATTACGCAACGTCGAGACGGATAGGCGAGTGGCGCTGAGGTCATCGGCCGACAAACACGGGGGGAGCATCATCACAGACGACGGTGGCGATGGTTTCGCTTGTTGAGATCATTACCACCGTTGTCCCTGCGACCGTGATGATGGCACAAGTGCGGGGGACCTGTGACATCGCCTCGAGCGACGATGATTCGAAAGGAACCATCGAGATGATGACGACGACGACCATAATGAACGCGTGATGTCGAACCCCATCTCGTCAAAGGGAAGACGACGTGAATTAAAGATGTTGAGACGATGGGGGTGGGGGGAGGAGAGGGGTGAGGGTGGGGGGATGGAGGGGATGGGGGCATGACCCTCACCCCAGCTTGTCCCCGTCCTCCCCATGAATTGTCGAGTTCGTGGGTTCCAGATGAATTCCTTGCATCCTCCCGTGCTCTCCTCTTGCTTCTTGTCGTCCATAGCCGCCGCCTCTGCTCAGCTAATTAGCGAGCAACGAGTGAATGGAAGAGCGTTAATTACTCAGCAGTATTACTTAACAGCCGAGCGCTGTGGATCGAGTGAGGGGGTGATGATGATTGGTAGCGCGGAGCCCCGCGTTGACGACTTATTCGTCGCTATTGTGTTATGATTATTAATCGGAGCGACCGCGGGCACCTACCGCTCACCGGCTGACTGGCGCGCTCGCCGCTGATGCAGGAGATTAGATTCGACGGTAGGAGAGAGAGAGAGAAAAAAAATAGATTTTCCTTTTTAATTTTTCTAAAATAAATATATATAGCTCTGCAATTATCGCTGTTCGATCACGCGGTGGAATATCGAGAGGGTCTCTTGTCGCATTTGCCTTATTATTCGATTAACGCAATTTTCACTTTCATGTAAATCTGGGTGGCGGCCGGGTGCTGAACCCGGGGGGTGCCGGCGAGGAGCTTGCAGGAGGGGGGGGGGGGGCGAGGAGGTCGCGGCTGAGACGGAGCGATGGGGGGAGCCGCGCGGAGTGTGCGGGGAGAGCGTCGAGAGCGCGCCTTTATAGCGGGGGGGGGGCGTGGGGGGGGGACGTGGGGGAGGGCACGTGGGGGGGGCGCGGGGGTGGGGGGAGAGGGAGCGGCGGGGGGGCAGACGTGGGGGAGGGCGAAGGGTGGGGGGAGAGGCAGCGGCGGGGGGGGCGCGTGGGGGGGCACGGGGTGGGGGGAGCGGGGGAGGGATTGTGTACCATGTATAGGGTGGGGGTCCGTGGGGGCTAGAGGGGCGGGTGGTAGAGGGGGTGATGGGGGATGACGCGCATGCGCACTAATGGCCAGGATGCGCACGCACGCAAGAATCCACGCACAGAGACAAAGGTCCCCCCCCGTACGGGTATAGCCTTTAGTAGGCTTGAGGGGCAAGTGCTGTTAGCCAGCACATATTTCAGGCTGGAAATGCGCACGAGTGGGTGGTGTGGTCATAGCCACGCCCGGCCGTCTTTGTCTCCCCGTCGCTGATATGTATAGTACACAACGGCACTAGGTACCCGTATCTTCATGAGGGCTTAGCACCGGTTCAGATATCCACGTGCCACTGATGTTAGCCGTGACCTGGATTCGACACAAGTCCCTAGCGCAATGCGCTAACGTCTGCGCCACCACTCCCAACACAAATGCTCACCGTTATACAGCACTGCATATGACTACACGCACCTGCATTGTGGTTCACAACATTCTGAGAATTACAACACAAACTTAGCATTTAAGATTGAGCCGACGACCTAGGAGAGTCACAGCACCGGCTCACATATCACTCGCCACTGATGTTAGCCGTGCCCGGGAATAGAAACTCAGTGGGGCAGGCTCGTTCGTGTGCTAACCACTGCGCCACCGCTCCTCACGCACCCTTCGTACGTATACGGCGTGTGTGTGTGTACCATGTATACCGCATGTGTGCGAGTCTGTGGGTGTCTTGTGTGAGTCTGTGGGTCTCTGTGTGAGTCTGTGGGTGTCCTGTATGAGTCTGTGGGTCTCTGTGTGAGTCTGTGGGCCTCTGTGTGAGTCTGTGGGTCTCTGTGAGAGTCTGTGGTCTCTGTGTGAGTCTGTGGTCTCTGTGTGTGAGTCTGTGGTCTCTGTGTGAGTCTGTGGTCTCTGTGTGTGAGTCTGTGGGTCTCTGTGTGGGTCTGTGGGTGTCTTGTGTGAGCCTGTGGCTCTCTGTGTGAGTCTGTGGGCCTTTGTGAGAGTCTGTGGGTCTCTGTGTGAGTCTGTGGGTCTCTGTGTGGGTCTGTGGGTCTCTGTGTGAGTCTGTGGGTCTCTGTGTGAGTCTGTGGGTCTCTGTGTGAGTCTGTGGGCCTCTGTGAGAGTCTGTGGGTCTCTGTGTGAGTCTGTGGGTCTCTGTGTGAGTCTGTGGGTCTCTGTGTGAGTCTGTGGGCCTCTGTGTGAGTCTGTGGGTCTCTGTGTGAGTCTGTGGGTCTCTGTGTGAGTCTGTGGGCCTCTGGGAGAGTCTGTGGGTCTCTGTGTGAGTCTGTGGGTCACTGTGTGAGTCTGTGGGTCTCTGTGTGAGTCTTTGGGCATCATGTGTGTGCCTGTGGGTCTCATTGTGAGTCTTTGGGTATCATGTGTGTGCCTGTGGGTCTCTGTGTGAGTTTTTGGGTATCATGTGTGTGTCTGTGGGTCTCTGTTTGAGTCTGTGGGCCTCTGTGTGAGTCTGTGGGTCTCTGTGTGTGTCTGTGGGTCTCTGTGTGAGTCTGTGGGTCTCTGTGTGAGTCTTTGGGTATCATGTGTGTGTACCATGTGTACCACGTGTGTACAATGTAACCTTCAGCTGCCAATAAGTTCACATCACACACGGGATCGTTTGGGTCTCTCCCCCGGGTCGCCCCGGTTACGGGCAAATACTAATTTATTCATAAGGTATAAATATTCCAGGTGCATTATCAGAATGAGAGAATATCACTGGAGGTGCGCAGATCACGTTGCATCTGCCTATGGGGGGGGGGGACTTATTGCTGGGCTCACTCTCCAACACACAGCCGGTTAGTGCTGAACTTGTCCACTAATTGGCACGTTTTGTTAACATGACAAACCTTCCTAATTGGCTGTGTCGGGTGGTGGCGGGGTTCACGACACATTTACATTTAGGCGATCGAACCCAAAACTATCAGCCGCGTAGGGCCTACGACGTGTTGAACAAACCCCATTGCTTTCACATACTGTGCGGAGGAGCGGTGGCGCAGTGGTTAGCGCACCGCCCTCTGAACCCGCTCGCGTGAGTTCCACTCCGGGCCACGACCGAACATCGTTGGCGAGTGAAGTATGTACAGCACAAACAACGACAACCAGGCCTTAAATGACGTGGTTAAGCCTTTCATTCACCAGCGGATAGATAAGGGGCCGTAGATTGTAATCTCTGTACTGCACTGCATGTGTCTGTATAGAGAGCACGTCCCACAGAATGCGCCGTGAACTTGTGTCGAGTCGAAATGAGGCGGCATCTCACTCGAGACGCTGCTGTATGGAAGCAGTGGAAGTGGTCGTCTTGCAGGCACAGCTCTCCGTTTGAGTCTAGGGGCTTCTGCGTGAGTCTACGTGTCCCTGCTATGTGCAAGTCTATGGGGTTCTGTGCGAGTCTATGGGTTTATGTGCGAGTCTATGGGGTTCTGTGCAAGTCTATGGGTTCTGTGCGAGTCTATGGGTTTTTGTGTGATTCTATGGGTTTCTGTGCGAGTCTATGGGTTTCTGTGTGAGTCTATGGGTTTCTACGCGAGTATATGGGTTTCTGTGTAAGTCTATGGGTGTCTGTGCGAGTCTATAGGTTTCTGTGTGAGTCTATGGGTTTCTGTGCAAGTCTATGGGTTTCTGTGTGAGTCTATGGGTTTCTGTGCGAGTATATGGGTTTCTGTGCGAGTCTATGGGTTTCTGTGCGAGTCTATGGGTTTATGTGCGAGTATATGGGTTTCTGTGTGAGTCTATGGGTTTCTGTGCGAGTCTATGGGTTTATGTGTGAGTCTATGGGTTTCTGTGCAAGTCTATGGGTTTCTGTGCGAGTCTATGGGTTTATGTGCGAGTATATGGGTTTCTGTGTGAGTATATGGGTTTCTGTGTGAGTATATGGGTTTCTGTGCGAGTATATGGGTTTCTGTGCGAGTCTATGGGTTTCTGTGCGAGCATATGGGTTTCTGTGTGAGTCTATGGGTTTCTGTGTGAGTATATGGGTTTCTGTGCGAGTATATGGGTTTCTGTGTGAGTATATGGGTTTCTGTGTGAGTCTATGGGTTTCTGTGCGAGTATATGGGTTTCTGTGCGAGTCTATCGGTTTCTGTGCGAGTCTATGGGTTTATGTGTGAGTCTATGGGTTTCTGTGCGAGTCTATGGGTTTCTGTGGAAGTCTATGGGTTTATGTGTGAGTCTATGAGTTTCTGTGCAAGTCTATGGGTGTCTGTGCGAGTCTATAGGTTTCTGTGTGAGTCTATGGGTTTCTGTGCAAGTCTATGGGTTTATGTGTGAGTCTATGGGTTTCTGTGCGAGTATATGTGTATACGCGTGAGTCTGTCGGCCTCTTGTGTGAGTCTATACAATACTACATACGCAGAGTGAAGCCCTTCTCCCTCAGAGGAGCAGAGGGAGAAAGCCTTGACCCTGGACGTGAACAAAAGGGACAGGGGTCACTGGGGAACCTACCCAGTGAAACATGACATATGGTTGGGCCAATGTTGGCCCAACGTTGTTGGCCACTCTCCTGGGTAGGGAGTTCCAAATTGAAGGCAGCAGCAGCAGCAGCGCGGTCAAGCGAGGGCCTTGGTTGACCAGGGACTTCTGGCACTGATGATGATGATGACGAATGCCCCTCTGACCTTTGACTTGAAAAATAAAGACCGGCGCGTGACAAGTTGCATGCGTGTGCACGTTGAACTTATTTCGGCACCGTTCGTAGCCAACCGTGCTAATCGGAGGTGCTGGGGGAAGGACAAGAAACTCAGTAATGCATCGTGGCCTCACGCTGGGGTTGTTATCATCGATCAGCACGGTTGCGAAACTGTTAACCGTATGGTGTAACGAACAAGCGGGTAACTAACGGTTACTGGTTTGCCACATTATAGTAAATATTACATTAAAGGAATACAATAACATTCACTATCGAAGGGGGCTGTGCCGTGGCTGGTGATGGTCAAGCACATTCTGGACCTGGCATCCTATCAACTGAAACTTTTTTTTATTTGATCAGGTAAGGTTTACTGAGCCACGGAGATCCTCTGCAGAAGCGAGTTGGCTATCACAAGCGATAGCTCAACGGGGTGGCTCATCGTGTGGAAAGTAAGAGCAGACAAATGCTCTAAACGCGTGTCGTTGATGCTAAATGTGAAGGGGAAAACCCGGAGGACCCGCAGAAAAATCCACGCGACCACGGGGAGAGTGAGAGACACCGCAAACTCCAAATATACAGCAGCAGCTGGCGTCAGGGTCGGGATCGAACCCAGGACCTCCTCTAGACCGGGCGAGGTAAGTTCAACTATAAACTAAACTTATCTGTTTTTGTATCTTACCAGGTAAGGCCCACTGAGCTAGATAGCTCTTTTTTATACAGCTGTTTCAGAAGCAACCTGGCAGAGCGTGGAAGAGGAGGCCAAGTACCACCCGAACGAGAGGCAGCTCCGCTAGCAAGTGGCTCGATTGCGAGCAGGAAATTGCAGGGCCGCTCCGTCACCTTCATCTTTACTATCTCACCAGCAGGGGGCAGCGGTGACCCGGTGATGGTGGTGGTGGTGCTCAGAGCCGAAGAGGAAATTCACCGTGAACGTAAAATCGCAACTGATGTTAGCCGTGGTCGGTAATAGGGATTTAAGATCTCCGGGTCCGGAGCGCGATGCAACTGAACCACCGCTCCCCATTCACACACACACCCTGTCTCACACACACACACACCCTGTCTTACACACACACCCTGTCTCACACACACACCCTGTCTTTCATACACACGCCCTGTCTCTCACACACACCCTGTCTCTCTCACACACACACACCGTCTCTCACACACACACACACACCCTGTCTCACACACACACACCCTGTCTCTCATACACACACACCCTGTCGATATTTACACCGCTGGTACCAGTCATCGGCAAGTCCACTCAGCTCCACGTCCTCCTGTACCACATCACTCCATCTCTTCTCTAGCCCGTGCTGCGCCCGTTTAGCCCCCTCGATCCGGCCGAACAAAAGTTGTTTCGGCATGCGGTGGCTGGGCATGCGGGCTACATGACCCAGCCAACGCAGCCTTGCCTGCTGGAGGAGCTCACCGATGGGACCTTGCCCAGATCTTTCAAGGATTTGTGAATTCCTCACACCATCCAGCCTGGTAAACCCAGGATGGATCGTAGGCAGGCTAGCCTAAATGTTTCTAACCGGCGGAGATGTTCTATTAGGGGGGTCCACGTTTCGCAAGCGTAGAGAAGGGAGGGAATGACCGTAGCCGAGAAGACCTGAAGCTTAGTTGGGAGCGACAGACCAGGCAGCTTCCACACAGCGTTACGCAACCGATGAAAAGATATTGCCGCTCGACTGATTCGGAGCCGGTCATAAGCACACTGCCCAGGTATGGGAAACTCTCCACTCTCTCGAACAACTGCCCCATCACCGATTGGGAATTATGGGGGTGCAGTGGTTGAGGGAGCCATCCGTTGACCGCACCCGGGCATCTCACACACACACACAAAGATAAAGATCCCCCATATAGCCTTAACAGACTGTAGGGGCAAGTGCTGTTAGCGAGCACCTATGAAGGCCGGAACGGTACACGAGGGGGTGGGTGGCCAGCACCACGCCCGACCGCCTTTGTCTCCCCAGTGGCGATGTTTACACACCGCACCAGGTACTCATTTGAGGCTGAGTCGACCTAGGGGAGGCCCGGGACCGGTTCAGATAATCGTCACTGGTGTTGGCCGTGAGCGGGAATCGAACCCGGGTCGCCAGGTTCATAGCGCAGCGCGCTAACCGCTACACTATCGCTCCCCACACGCACACACACCCCGTCTCACACACACAAATCCTGTCTCTCACACACACACCCTGTCTTTCACACACACACTGTCTCACACACACACGCCCTGTCTCACACACACACACACACCCTGTCTCACGCACACACACACCCTGTCTCACACACACACACCCTGTCTCACACACACACACCCTGTCTCTCAAACACACACACACACACACACCCTGTCTCACACACACACCCTGTCTCACACACACACCCTATCTCACACACACACACCCTGTCTTTCACACACACACACCCTGTCTCTCACACACACACCCTGTCTCACACACACACACACACCCTGTCTCACACACACACACCCTGTCTCACACACACACCCTGTCTCACACACACACACCCTGTCTCACACACACACACACACACCCTGTCTCTCACACACACACCCTGTCTCACACACACACACCCTGTCTCACACACACACTGTCTCTCACACACACGCCCTGTCTCACACACACACACACCCTGTCTCACGCACACACACACCCTGTCTCACACACACACACACACCCTGTCTCACACACACACACACACCCTGTCTCACACACACACCCTGTCTCACACACACACACACCCTGTCTCACACACACACCCTGTCTCACACACACACACCCTGTCTCACACACACACACACACCCTGTCTCTCACACACACACCCTGTCTTTCACACACACACACACACACCCTGTCTCTCACACACACACACCCTGTCTCTCACACACACACACCCTGTCTCACACACACACCCTGTCTCACACACACACACACCCTGTCTCTCACACACACACCCTGTCTCACACACACACACCTCCCCCTTTCCCTCCCCGACCCCCGCCCCTCTCCCCCCAGCCCCGCCCCCGTGTCGCAGTGACGCGGAGGCTTCCACTGCACTGCGCATCAATGCGTCTTATCGGGCGACGTCACCCGCCGTGACGCCACGAGGGGCTCGTATGAAAATGAGCGTCGTTAATTATTCATAGGGTGGGCGGGACTTCGCGGGTTTTACGTCTGAGCAGGGTGTGGGGGGGGTTAAAGGGAAAGATGACGGGGGCCGAGGGGAGGGGGGCCCGGGAGGGCTGGGGGACGCGGGGGATGGGCTCTGCGAGGTCTCTCTCTCCCTCCCGCTTTAATGGGGCATTGCCTCCCCTCTGAATTATTTACTGTGTTCTCTGAGTGTAGATGATTGTAATGGACTGAACTGGATAATGGGGAGCAGCTAATATATGGCTAAGGTGATGATGATAATGCTGAGAATGGTTGTGATGGTGTTGCAGTGTTGGTGATAATGACGGTGGTGGTGGTGATGACGGTGGTGATGGTAATGAAACGTGAACTTATTTAAACGGACATCTGCGTTCAGGGCTGGCCTGCCTACGATCCATCCCGGGTTAAACCAGACTGGATCACAGTGTGAGGAGCTGGCAGATCCTTGAAAGATCTGAACACGGTGCCATCGGTGAGCTCCTCCAGGAGGCGAGGCTGCGTTGGCTGGGTCAAGGAGCCACCGCACGCCCAGGCAGCTTCTGTTTGGCCGGAGAGAGGGGCCTCAGGGCGCACGACACGGGCAAGAGAAGAGGTGGGATGATGTGATACAGGAGGATGTGGAGCTGAGTGGACTTGTGGATGACCGGTACCAGCGGTGTCAAGGTCGGCCTTTGTGGAGGAGGCTCGTGAGGGACGCTACTGGACAGTGCCAGGCTAAGTGCACCTCGATGCTACTGGTTGGAGGCAGCAGGTTGGCACATTAGGGGGCACAGGTGATGAATCTGCCGGTCATCTCAGTCAGTCAACCCATGGCCCCTGGCTCTGTCCCGTGACCTCCTGCCAGCAGCGAGCCTGCCACAATTCACGTGGCCTCAACGTGCACCTGGCCTGGCACAAGGTACCGTTGCGATGTCACCGCCTCTTAGTGGTCAACGGCACCTGTTGGTGGTAAATGATGGTGATGATGGTGCTGATGATTGGAAAAGGTGTGCGTACCCACACTTTACCCCACCACCACACCACTTGCCAATCGATTAACTGCGGAGGACCCGGGAGATCGATCCAATAAACGAAACTTTTATTTACTTTACCAGGTAAGGCCCACTGAGCTAGAGATATCTTTTTCAAACGCGACCTGGCTATCAGAAATAATAGCAAAATGAAGTGGCTTATATAATCATGCGGCAAGTTATAGCAGCCAAAACATTCTAAACGCGTGATGTTGATTCTAAACGTGGAGGGGAAAACAAGAGGATCCGGAGAGAAAAACAAATCCACGACCTCCTGCATACCAGGCGAGGTAGTTAACATCTCCTCGCCACCGCGACCTCTGAATACCGCTCCACATGGCCACGCGTGCAGCAAAACTGGTGACCGCTATGTATATTATTTACTGTTTTAATGGTTCATGGTGATTATCGGTGAATCCAAGCAACGTAACAAACGCGTGTATAAATTTTGATTTAAAGCTTTCGTGACTGCAGTAATTCATATTCTTAGCTCTTTCGGTAAAGTCACGTTGAAGGGAAACAATAAAATAATAAAATATATATAAAACAATTAAAAAATTCTCACGATGTTTCGACCATAACACAAACGGTCATCATCAGGTGTTGGTTTTTCACACCTGATGACGACAGTTTGTGTTATGGTCGAAACGTCGTGAGAATTGTTTTATTGTTTTATATATATTTTATTGTTTCCCTTCAACGTGACTTTACCGAAAGAGCTAAGGATATAAACGCGTGTATAGTTTACACGTGAATACCGCTGATATAGTAGTATAGTTACTGGACAGGGACTCCCTCTACCCACGATCGAGTTAGGTTTTAGAGGTCTGTTCGTAAGTCGATTTGTTCGTAAGTCCAACTTCACTCCCGTCGATGCCAAACATGTTGCACCGCGTGTTACACGAAACACGGGGAATGCCTTTAAACGTTCCATGATCTCTTGGTAGATGTAGATACCGCTGGTTCTTCTTACGACCTCCCTCAACAACTTCCACCGCTCGTACGCTTCTGAGACACGATGGTGGTTGATAATATTCGTGAGAAGCACAGAAAACGTCGGAGTGAACAGCACAGCGACAACAGACGATTGCGGCGTGCTTGCCAGACGTGCTGGGTAATGACACAGAACATCCACCGTCACCTATTGCGCCAGGGGGTTGGAGTTTAACGTCCGGCTCTCGGTCCGAAACAGGCAACTGCACATCGGGACAGGTTTATTGGTATCTCGGTGATATTAACAATTATGGTAACACAGATGGAAAGACGATAATGGCGATGCCCCAAAAGGGCTCTCAGTGGCCTAATCTGCCGGATTACATCCGTTGCGTTTCCCCGCGCCAAAATGATTCCCCCTAATCCGGAAGAGTCAATCACAGAGATGGTCCCCCCCCTCCCCCCACTCACGGCCTGCCTCCACGTGGCCTCCTCGCACGTGTCACGGACGCTGTGAGCGAGCGCTTATTAAGCAGGGCCGAATGATTTAGTGATTTCCACCACTGCTGCTGCTGCTGCAACTGTGGTGGTGATGACAAAAGCAATAATCCGTGCGACACGTTCGTCAAAATGTTGTTCGATAAACTATAAACATTTTAAATTTTGATTAAAAACTTTCGTGACTGCAGGGATTCATATTCTTGGTTCTTTCGGTAAAGTCACATAGAAGGGAACAATAAAAATACATTTTTATTATATTTTTATTATTTTATTGTTTCTCTTCTACGTGACTTTACCGAAAGAACCAAGAATATAAACATTTTATTTGACCAGGTAAGGTCCATTGAGCTATACAGTATAGCTAATTTTCAAGAGCGACCCAGCTACCACAAGTGATAGCTCAACGAAGTGGCCTATCATCATGTGGACATTATTAGCAGCCAAATGCTCTAAAACGCGTGTTGTTGATTCTCAATATGTACCCGGAGAAAACCCAACTCCACCACGGGGAGAGAGAGACACGCAAACTCCAAATATACAGCAGCAGCAGGCGTCAGTATCGGTATCGAACCCACGACCTCCTGTATACCAGGCGAGGTGGTTAACATCTCGCGACCGTGCTTCCTCTACACGCTATGAATATGGATCATTGCCCAAAACGTCGCACGCGTGCAGTGGCGGTGTTGACGCACGCGTCGAGTTTGCGATCGAGAGGCGCGTAGCCAACCACGGAGCAAGACGCTCGTCCAATCACGCACCTCCGATTAGCGCGGTGGGCTTATACGTACGGTGCACAAGAAGTTCAACACGCTGTGCAACTACGAACGTGCGTTCGGGCACGGGGCCCAAAGAGTTGAACAAGCGGGGACATCCTGAACACTTCAACGCGGCCACGGAAGGAATTTGGGTTCCATTGATCCCAGGAAGGCGGATAATCGAGAGTCTACTGTATAGGTTGAGTGGGATTCAGGGCTTTGTGGATGGAGTTTGTGGTCAGAGTTATGCTTTCGGATTAGGATTTAGGAGTTTGGGGTTAGGGGTTAAGAGCTGGGGTTTGGGGGCTGGAGGTAAGAAGGAGTTACTGTTTTGGTGGTAGGGTTCGGGATAACAGTGACAGAGACCGCTGATCTAGAATCTACGGCGACAGCAATCGATTAGTCTCTAGCGATGATCGGTTTTGATTGCACGACTAATCGGATAGCACGACAATAGAGTTGGTGGTAAAAATAAAAAGTCTTATCTCTGGATGAAAGGTGATGGGCGGGGCTGTGGTGATGTCATCGCGGAACGTCACGCTGGGCGTGGCTTGTAGGGGGTTTCCCACCTTCAGGCCCGGCGGGGAGGGGGGGGGTCGCTATTTTTAAAAAGAGCCCCACGCAATCGACCACACGAAAGTAATCGATTTTAAAATAAATACGATCGATTCATCGATTAGTCGATCCTAAAACCCCCCACATCCACCGCCTTCCCCGCCCTCGTGTCTCCTTCTCCCTCCTCGCTCCACCCTCTCGCGCCCGTCGAGTCGCCCCGGGTGGGTGGGGGGCTGCTGTGGGGGGGGGGAGAAGGGGGAGGGGAGAGAAGGGGGGGGAGAGAAGGGGGGGGGAGAGAAGGGGGGGAGAGAAGGGGGGGAAGGGGGGGGAGAGAAGGGGGGGAAGGGGGAGAGAAGGGGGGGGGAGAGAAGGGGGGGAAGGGGGGGGAGAGAGAAGGGGGGGGGGGGGGGAGAAGAGAAGGGGGGGGGAGAGAAGGCGGGGGGGGGGATTTCCCATCAAAGACACAAAAATCAATGGAGCGATTCCATCTCGGAACGTGCACAAAGTGTACCCAGAAACACAGCCAGTTTACAACGTGTACCCAGTATAGATGTATAGTTTACACAGTGTACCCAGAAACACGACAAGTTTACAAAGTGTACCCAGAAACACAGCCAGTTTACACAGTGTACCCAGCACAGATGTGTAGTTTACACAGTGTACCCAGAAACAGCCAGTTTACACAGTGTACCCAGAAACACAGCCAGTTTACAACGTGTACCCAGTATAGATGTATAGTCTACACAGTGTACCCAGAAACACGACAAGTTTACAAAGTGTACCCAGAAACACAGCCAGTTTACACAGTGTACCCAGCACAGATGTGTAGTTTACACAGTGTACCCAGAAACAGCCAGTTTACACAGTGTACCCAGAAACACAGCCAGTTTACAACGTGTACCCAGTATAGATGTGTAGTTTACACAGTGTACCCAGAAACAGCCAGTTTACACAGTGTACCCAGTATAGATGTATAGTTTACACAGTGTACCCAGAAACACGACCAGTTTACAACGTGTACCCAGTACAGATGTATAGTTTACACAGTGTACCCAGTATAGATGTGTAGTTTACACAGTGTACCCAGAAACAGCCAGTTTACACAGTGTACCCAGAAACACAGCCAGTTTACAACGTGTACCCAGTATAGATGTGTAGTTTACACAGTGTACCCAGAAACAGCCAGTTTACACAGTGTACCCAGTGTAGATGTATAGTTTACACAGTGTACCCAGAAACACAGCCAGTTTACAACGTGTACCCAGTACAGATGTATAGTTTACACAGTGTACCCAGAAACACAGCCAGTTTACAACGTGTACCCACTATAGATGTGTAGTTTACACAGTGTACCCAGAAACACGACCAGTTTACAACGTGTACCCAGTGTAGATGTGTAGTTTACACAGTGTACCCAGAAACACAGCCAGTTTACAACGTGTACCCAGTATAGATGTGTAGTTTACACAGTGTACCCAGAAACAGCCAGTTTACACAGTGTACCCAGTATAGATGTATAGTTTACACAGTGTACCCAGAAACACGACCAGTTTACAACGTGTACCCAGTACAGATGTATAGTTTACACAGTGTACCCAGTATAGATGTGTAGTTTACACAGTGTACCCAGAAACAGCCAGTTTACACAGTGTACCCAGTGTAGATGTATAGTTTACACAGTGTACCCAGAAACACAGCCAGTTTACAACGTGTACCCAGTACAGATGTATAGTTTACACAGTGTACCCAGAAACACAGCCAGTTTACAACGTGTACCCACTATAGATGTGTAGTTTACACAGTGTACCCAGAAACAGCCAGTTTACAACGTGTACCCAGTATAGATGTGTAGTTTACAACGTGTACCCAGTATAGATGTGTAGTTTACACAGTGTACCCAGAAACAGCCAGTTTACACAGTGTACCCAGTATAGATGTATAGTTTACACAGTGTACCCAGAAACACGACCAGTTTACAACGTGTACCCAGTACAGATGTATAGTTTACACAGTGTACCCAGTATAGATGTGTAGTTTACACAGTGTACCCAGAAACAGCCAGTTTACACAGTGTACCCAGTGTAGATGTATAGTTTACACAGTGTACCCAGAAACACAGCCAGTTTACAACGTGTACCCAGTACAGATGTATAGTTTACACAGTGTACCCAGAAACACAGCCAGTTTACAACGTGTACCCACTATAGATGTGTAGTTTACACAGTGTACCCAGAAACACGACCAGTTTACAACGTGTACCCAGTGTAGATGTGTAGTTTACACAGTGTACCCAGAAACACAGCCAGTTTACAACGTGTACCCAGTATAGATGTGTAGTTTACACAGTGTACCCAGAAACAGCCAGTTTACACAGTGTACCCAGTATAGATGTATAGTTTACACAGTGTACCCAGAAACACGACCAGTTTACAACGTGTACCCAGTACAGATGTATAGTTTACACAGTGTACCCAGTATAGATGTGTAGTTTACACAGTGTACCCAGAAACAGCCAGTTTACACAGTGTACCCAGTGTAGATCTATAGTTTACACAGTGTACCCAGAAACACAGCCAGTTTACAACGTGTACCCAGTACAGATGTATAGTTTACACAGTGTACCCAGAAACACAGCCAGTTTACAACGTGTACCCACTATAGATGTGTAGTTTACACAGTGTACCCAGAAACACGACCAGTTTACAACGTGTACCCAGTGTAGATGTGTAGTTTACACAGTGTACCCAGAAACACAGCCAGTTTACAACGTGTACCCAGTATAGATGTGTAGTTTACACAGTGTACCCAGAAACACGACCAGTTTACAATGTGTACCCAGTATAGATGTGTAGTTTACACAGTGTACCCAGAAGCACAGCCAGTTTACAACGTGTACCCACTATAGATGTGTAGTTTACACAGTGTACCCAGAAACAGCCAGTTTACAACGTGTACCCAGTACAGATGTATAGTTTACACAGTGTACCCAGAAACACGACCAGTTTACAACGTGTACCCAGTATAGATGTGTAGTTTACAAAGTGTACCCAGAAACACAGCCAGTTTACAACGTGTACCCACTATAGATGTATAGTTTACACAGTGTACCCAGAAACACAGCCAGTTTACAACGTGTACCCAGTATAGATGTCTAGTTTACACAGTGTACCCAGAAACACAGCCAGTTTACAACGTGTACCCAGTGTAGATGTGTAGTTTACACAGTGTACCCAGAAACACAGCTAGTTTACAACGTGTACCCAGTATAGATGTGTAGTTTACACAGTGTACCCAGAAACACAGCCAGTTTACAACGTGTACCCAGTATAGATGTGTAGTTTACACAGTGTACCCAGAAACACGACCAGTTTACAACGTGTACCCAGTATAGATGTGTAGTTTACACAGTGTACCCAGAAACACAGCCAGTTTACAACGTGTACCCACTATAGATGTGTAGTTTACACAGTGTACCCAGAAACACGACCAGTTTACAACGTGTACCCAGTATAGATGTGTAGTTTACACAGTGTACCCAGAAACACAGCCAGTTTACAACGTGTACCCACTATAGATGTGTAGTTTACACAGTGTACCCAGAAACACGACCAGTTTACAACGTGTCCCAGTATAGATTTGTAGTTTACACAGTGTACCCAGAAATATGGATAATTTACAAAGTGTACCCAAGACAGCGCCAAGCCAGCACAGCTACTGCCTGTGATTAAACCATGATGGTCTCGGCTCAGTCATCAGTGACTAATAGAGACCCATACACTTACATAGAGACAAATTAACTCACAAATATACGCATCTCTATGGGTCTCTATGCATCTTTACGCGTCTCTTTGGGTCTACGAGTCGCAACGCATCTCCATGGGTATCTTTGAGTTCACTGCATGGTCCATAATTGTATGCACTGTATGCATGTTGAACTTCTTTCGCACCGCACGTAGCCAACCGTGCTAATCGGGTGCATGTTTTCTGTCTTTCACTGACCACGCAGTGCGGATGCATCGACGTGCACGATCGGACACCCTTTGCAGAAGTGTGGGTGGGAAAGTGCTGCCCCCCCCCCACCGCGGTGAGGACACGAGGTCATTGGAAGGTCATCCCAGAAGTTGGCGTTGCGGTAGCCGCGTGACCGTGTCCGTGGCTTTTTTTGATATTCACGAATTGTTGTTGTTGTTGTTTGCGCTTCTTGGTCTCGCGATGCCCGTTGGCAAAGTCGGCAGAGATTTGCCGAAGGGGACGCCGGGACGGAGGTCACCAACATGGACGAGGATGCGGGCACGGCTCAAGATGAGCAGCAGGAGGAGGAGGAACGCTGATCAGGAGGAGGAGAGAGACGATGTCTCGCATGCTGAGAGGGCGACGATGAACTGCACGGAGGAGCAGCGCCTGTTGTTTTAACAGGGGACGGGCGAGAGGTTATTTTATTGTTTTATTTGACGAGGTAAAACCCATGCTGAGCTACGTAGCTCTTTTCAGAAGCGACCTGGCCGTCACAGATGATGGATCGACGCAGTTGTCTCGTCGCGTGGAAATGTACAGCAGCAGCAGCAGCTACATTCTCTAAACGCGTTGCGGCGTTGTTGTTGTTGTTGATTCTAAACGTGTAGGAGAGAAAACCGGAGGACCCGGAGAAAAATCAACGCGACCACGGGGAGAGTGCGAGAGAGAGGGAGGGAGACCGTCGCAAACTCCGAATACACAGCGCCAGGCGTCAGGGTCGAGATGTAACACCACGATCTCCCGCACACCAGACGAGACAGTGAACACCTCGCTCACAGAGGCGGGGTGGCCACGCACAGGTCACTTGATTTACGGAAGGCCCTTGAGCCTCTTTAGTGACGTACACGTGATGCGTTGAAGGACATCGATATTTATTTAAGCTCGATTCGGGAGTGTGTGGTTTTTTTAAATGTATTTCACATCGTACGCGTGGGGGCACTCACCGTTGCATGCGCATGCGTTCACTTCCACTCCGCAGCCGCTAGAGGCCGCTACATTCAGCATAATGCGTAGGGAAGAGAAAAACATCGATTAACCAACCGAATCGCTGCGGTTTACGGGGGGGGGGAGCTCATCGTGAAGCAACTCGAGAGTCCCTTTTAGGGGTCGCACGCTTCAGCCGCGTCTCACTCAGTCCCCAGCCATGTTTTTGTCTTACTCTATGGGATGGGCTGGCCCTGCCCACGGTAACGTGGAATTCCCGCCTCGGTGCTCAGAAACCGTCAGTCATCAAATGTTCGAGTGACCCGCAGTGATCAGAAACCAAAAAATGATCTCCGATGTGTCCGCAACAATCTCCGACGATTCGCTCCAGGCGCTGTGGGGAGCTTTCTCGATGTCTTGTCCTTCGATGACATAGCGCGAAACGTCGGACATCGTGCCGAGCAACCCGAAGACACAATAGCCGTGACGTCGCCTCTCGCTGCGAGAGGCGACGACTCAGAGGCGCCAGGAGGAGGAACCCGCGGACGGACGGGAAGGCAGCAGCAGCCGCCGCTGACAATTTCCCAAGCTCTGCGGTCCTTTATATATCGCGGTGTTATCGGCCAATGAACGATGAGTGCTTATATGTGGGAGGAAAGCTGAGCATCTTGAGCAGGGGTCGGCAATCGAAACAACAAGAAGAGGCTTTTTTTAAAAATTCGGTAACAAAAAAAATCTCAATATTTCAAGAGCCGCAAAATGCACTGTGGTGACGACGAGACGGCCGTGATTGTCCTGAATAAATGACGGCGACGAAGCGGCCCTTTAATGAGCCGCAGGTTATGGTGACCCCGGATCGAGAGAAAACTCACGCTTGCGATGATGGGGTGGTGGGACACTCTATCCCGTGTAGACGGACCAGGCGCGAGTCCATAATACAGGCTGGTTCAAACAGATGGACACAATTTCAAAGATATAGCGATTTCAAATCGGGCCCATCGTCTTTGAAACACCCTGTATTGTGTTTGTTGCCGCTCCACCTTTTGGC